TTCTCATACTGAGGGAAACTCCAGATGTGCTGTAAGCCACAGATGTTGTGGAAGATGATTTATCCCCAAAGGTAGAGGGGTTGTATCAAATGGTATCTAAAGTCCAAAGTAATTGAATTTTGCTGCATAGAAAAGACTGTCAGTTGTATCTTTCTGAACTGTTCTCTGTTCCATCACTTCTCAGTGCTTTCTGTTCATGGGATTTAGGTAATAGTGACAACTGCTGTTTTTGTTGAATATATTTTTTTTACCTTGTAGAGCAGTTCTTCCTTCTTAAAAAAAAAATGCCTTATTTTGATTTTGACATGGCTTCTTTTGACTCCTGAATGTTCTCCAGTTTAGTCTTCAGGTACAGGGAGGAGTGAGCTGTAGGCTTCCTAGAGCACTGTTCTGTATGTGCATACAGCCCTAGAACACTGTTCTGTATGTGCATACAGCTGAGCTGTGAGTCCTTGTGTGTCTGCATGGTAAAAGTGCATTTTCAGTCCATCCTGGCTCATCAGAGCCAAGTCAAAGTGGACCTGGGGGGAAAGTCCATCTGTTATTGAGGAGAATTGAAAAATAACACTGGCCCTTAATATGGAGTCTCAATTTGTGATATGAATTTTGTGGAAATTCCCTGTGAGTTTCTAGGAAACTGTTGTTCTTCATTGGAGACCTTTTACTGTTACCTTTTTATCCATGCTTCCGTTTCTGTTTATGAATTCTTTTGTGCACAACTTAGACTTTCCTGTAAGCTCTAATAGGCTTTGTCTTAGTTTGATCAGTGAGTTTATTGGCTTGCTTTTTCTTGCCTGGAAATGCTGTGCCCTGAAATAGCAGAGTCTCTTGTCTTAATCACTCCACCACCAAGAGAACCAATCTAAGCTGTATCTGTGCCCTTTTAAAATGCAATTTCTCTATTTGATCACAGTAAGGTAACCCTTCTTTGTATGTGTTCTAATGTGGGGCATTGGTGACTAGGAATGTGCATTGTGGTTGAGGTTTTCACAGTGTTTTGGCTCAGTAGCACTCTTACCTATTTCTTCTGAACTAAATTATCTTGTTTATCTCCATGTCTTTACAGTTTCAACATACTGGCTCCATGTTCTAACAGAGTCAGTGACAGTGAGTCATGCCCATGAGTGTCAAGTTTGTCAACAGTACATTTATTTTGGCTGGCAGCAGTGGCAGTGAGCTAAACTTTAAATATATACATCCGTAAAACATTAGATTTAAAACAAAAAGAGGCTGTAAGTACCTGTTTTGCCATATCTGTAAGGATGTTTTCTTCTCACCGTTGCCTGTTGCTTAAAAACAAACAAAAAATAGACTACAGAAATCTGTAATCCTGACTTTAAATTATATTTCCATTTTACTAATCCTCAAGGCTAGAAATACTGAAAAACAAAAAGAAACCCATCCACCCCAACCCCAAAATGAACAACCAGAAAAATCCCTTTGTTCTCTAAACGATGTTTTCTTCTTCCTTGAAGTCTTGCTCTCATTTTTAGTTTCAATGCAGTGAGGTGACCTTAAGGAGGGGAGCACTCCTTATGTGCCACTTCTTTCTGATGACTTGGTATTGCAGGGAGACGTAGCCAGGGCATGAAAATGCCCAGTGTTTTGTTCCTTGGTGGTTGTGACATCGTGGTATCCACGAGCATGTGCACACACCAGTTCTTGTTCTGGGTAAGTAGACAATTTAGTCTTTGTATAAGAGGTGAAAGATAAGCTTTCAGTAAGCTCTGATGCCAGCACATGTTGCAGTGTGTGTGTCAGGAACGTTCCATTAGGCATAAGCACATTTCCTTCAATTTCAGCATTCCGATAGTTTTGATACGTGTATTTTTTCCTCTTTAGATTAACAACAAAGCAGCAACTGGAGAAGAAGTTCCACGGACCATCATCGTTACCACCCGTTCCCAGTATGGCTTACCAGAGGATGCTGTTGTATACTGCAACTTCAATCAGCTGTACAAGATTGACCCTTCCACGCTGCAGATGTGGGCTAATGTGAGTATCTGTGGATCTGGGAGCTGAGATCAAACCCCCGGGAGGCAGTAGCATTCATTTATTCTGAAGTGTATATGCAGAAGAGAAAAGGTTTCTGACTGCATAATAACTGTCTGTATTTCCTTCTTGATTTTTGCCACAGATCCTAAAAAGAGTTCCAAACAGCGTGCTGTGGCTGCTGCGCTTCCCGGCTGTAGGAGAACCCAACATTCAGCAGTATGCCCAAAACTTGGGTCTTTCCCAGAACAGAATCATCTTTTCTCCCGTTGCCCCTAAGGAAGAACACGTGAGGAGAGGGCAGCTGGCTGATGTCTGCCTGGACACTCCGCTCTGCAACGGGCACACAACGGGCATGGATGTGCTCTGGGCTGGGACTCCTATGGTCACTATGCCAGGTAATGCGGTGGGAAACCTGGATGGAGCGGGTGAATTTGATGTCCTTATTGTAACCATAACGAGCAGCCTTGGCAGACTTCCTCACTTGCTCTTGTAGAAGCAGCAGGAAGGCAGCTTTGCACTCTGTAGCGTGTTACTTGATGACTCCAGTTACCTGACTTTGCTTGTTTCTGTAGGTGAAACACTCGCATCACGAGTCGCTGCCTCCCAGCTTACTTGCCTTGGTTGTCTTGAGCTTATTGCAAAAAGTAGGCAGGAGTATGAGGACATTGCTGTGAAACTGGGGACTGATCTGGAATAGTAAGTAACCTTGTACCGTGTAGCACCAGGAATAGAAAGCCCTGTTTTGGGACACAGTGCTGGGTTTTATCAGTAACCTTGCACGTAGTTTAATGTTGAAAGTAAGACAGTTCTCATCCTGAGGTGTCTTAGAGTCTGGCAGTTAACTCTGCTTCTGTTTTTACAGTAAATGTAACGGTGCTCCAGTAACAATGCTGCAGTGCTGAAGAAATTGCTCAAGTGCAGACTGTTGTCTGATAAAAAGTGCACCGTATTTCACTTCTTGTTCTTTTAGGTTGAAGATGAGACAGTTTGTTGTTTACTGTAAGTTAAAACAGTGCAGTAAGTTAGTGCAGTACAGTTCGTGTGACAACTTAATGTCACAGCTGGTGTGAAGAGATAATGCTGGTCTGTATCAGAAAGGATGAGGGGGTGAAACAGCCACGTGAGCTTGGTGTGGGAGTTGCTGTTTTTGTTCTGGCAATTCTGGGTCTGCTGGAGCACGTTTTAAAAGCAAACAGTACGTAAAGTTGGGAAGCGTTCCTGATCGGCTTCAACTTTTTTGCAGCCTGAAAAAAATACGTGGCAAAGTGTGGAAGCAGAGAATATCCAGTCCTTTGTTCAACACCAAGCAGTACACGATGGACCTGGAGCGGCTCTATCTGCAGATGTGGGATCACTATGCTGCTGGCAACAAGCCGGACCACATGATCAAACCAGTGGAAGCCAGCGAATCTGCATGAAGAGACTTGTCTGCGTGCCCACCCAGACCTGTCCAGGAACTGAGCCTCTCCAACACTTGTGCAGAGATGATGAGCTAAAAACTGTGCATTTCTACTTAATCTGCCTGGTACTCTGTGGCTGAAGTGATACATGATGGTAATTAGAGCACAGCCAGACATATTTCTTGCATGATAGGGAAAGACTCTATAGAGCCTGGGATCCTTTTATTCCATGAGGAATTGGAATGGGGTTGAGCCGTGTACGTGTGAGCCTAGATGTGTGAGAGACGTGGCGGTTGGTGGGGGGAGTTGGACCTGCCCAACCAATTATGATTCCTTGGATTTGATGCAATCTTCTGACGCGTTTGTCTCCTCTTACGGATTGGGAATTGGAGCCTTTTAACGTTTGATTTGGGTACTCCTGTTGGTATACGTGTGGTTCTCCCATGGCGAGATTTCCAGCTAGCGAGTGTTGCTCCCTGCATTCATTTCTAAACTGTGCGGACTGAAGGGCATATTTGCTGGTGTAGTCTTTTTTTATAGGTTTTATAAACCACTTGAGCCTATATCAGCCTTTCAATGTTTGACCTCTGTTTTGGAGCTCTGTAATGTGTTGGTTTAGATAAGGACTTCGTTTTTGTTTCGTTTCTAAGCTTCTCCAATAACTCAGCTAATTGGCTTCATGATGGCAGCTCCTCTTCTGTTAGAAAACCAAATTCGATTTTAAATGAATCCTCCCCCAAAGTGTTTGAGGTAAAACACAAACTGGTGCCAAATACAGATCTTTCAGGAATGATTGTTAATTATATAGAGAGGGCGCAGTCCTACGTACTGTAGCGAAGACTTCAAACAAAAAATAAAGCTTTGGTTTGCCAGTTTGACTGTCACGTTTTTGGCTTCCCTCCTCGTGCAGCTGGCAGCGCTGCGTTCTCAGCTGCTGCCTTTCCTTCCATCCTCCTTCCTGTGACTTCTGGTTTCAGTAGCGCTGGTTATTCCAGCAGCGATCACAGCTAAGTGTGGTTCTCAGCCTCAGGATGGAAATGAAAACGTTCCGCTGCGCCCACCCACCTGTGGAGGCTGCGCAGGGCTGTGTGCCGAGCTCACAGAGCGTTGGGACCCTTGCACTGATGTTTCCCTCTCCTTTTTCTCATCTCTGGTCCCACGGTGCAGTAATTACAACTGTGTGATTGCTTTTGCGCTGGGTAAACACCGCAGCCGTTAACCGTAGTGCTGGCCGAGGGCTGCCCTTTGAAATCGGCCTCAGCCTTGCTGCTGGTGCCTGTGGTTACCGCTGTGCTGCGGCCCGCTGCGCGTACGCAGGGAACGCCCCGCCACCCCCGATCACCGCAGCGCCTCCGACCTTCCTGAGTGCCGCACTGCGCATGCGCCCCGCCGCGGTGCCCCGGAAGCGGAAGTGGGCATTGGAGGCGCGGGCGCTTCGAAGCGGAATGGCGGCCTTCAGCACCCCGCTGGGACCGGGCCGGCGGGGAGCGGCGGGGAGCAGCGCCAGGTGAGGCGGCTCCTGTCCGTGTGGGGCGGGGTTGGAGCTGGTTAACCGATCGCCTGAATGGTTTCTCTCGGTTATGTTCACGTGCAGTTCTGGCTTAGGCCACCCGTCTTCAGAGCGCTGCTCTGCGCGTTGCGTATTTGTCCTGTAGGTGTGAGTAACCCGTGTAATTAAAAGAAGCCATCTTCACGTTGCTCGGCAACCGCGCAGTGGGTTTTCCGGGTGGATAATTTCTGCTTTTTGTCCGAAAATAGCATAAATCGGCCGGCAAAGCAGCGTTCTGAGAGCCTGGGAGCACAGGTCTACATTAAATCCCCCACGTGAGACAGGAACCCAGCTCTGTTCCTTCTGATGCCCATCACCAGCCTGAACTCAGCCCCACACCTCGCAGAGCTGATGCTTCCAAACGCTTCCAGCCCTCAGATACTGGCGGCCATCGATCACTACACGAGTATTTAACACGTTGTTGTTACAGACTTTAATATCCAAGTTCAGCTTCTCAGCCTATTTCAGACGTTTGGTGTCTTTTCAGCATATCTTTGCTGTGTTTTCAGGATGTGTTTGGGATCTCAGCCCAGCAGAGCTGCAGATCTGTGTGTTCCTGATGTTCCTTTGCTTCTCATGTTTTTCAGCCATGCTCTGCACTTCTCATCCAGCAGCGATGATGAATTTGAAATGTGTAAGTAACAGCACACGTTGATTTGTTTGCTGGATGAGTGCAAAAAGGAAGGATCCATTTCTATCTGGGTGCAACAAACTAGTTTTTTAAGGAGATTTTTCTTCCGAGAGGTCACTGCTTCTTTGCTACAGTGCTGTGCTGTGTCAGTGCACCACAGTGACAGCTTTTGAATCTCCTGTCTCAGTTCTGGATGCTTTTTGCCTTGCATTGTGTGTGAGGCTCTTTTTGTTCTTCTCAGCTGTTGGCTGTTTAACAGCTCCTGGCATAGAGCTTTTTGTTGCCCCTGTTCTGTCTGTCCCCTGCCTCTTTCCCAGTCTGTAGTGTGTAACCATTTTCTCTGAACATTATCTGTTCCAAGCATGTTCCTAAACTGCTCAGGATTCCTTCAAGTCACAGAACTTGTGTGAATCTTAACCACTCAAAGGGATGTTTTTGGCTAGGAGTGTATTTTGACCTATATATGCTGGGTTCCACAATGGTGCCTTCCTAGCTTTATAGCGTGAGAGTGAATAATGAAAGAAATTCTGTCATCATCTTCAAGGGTTTGAGAGGTGGTTGGTTTGGGGTGGGTGTGTTTTGTTTTTTGGGGTTTTTTTTTGAGACCATAGGCTGAATTTTTACCAGCTGTAAGCTTTCCCTGGTAAAAATGCATAGCAGAATTATCACTGGAATGTCGTTCTTCATTAATTGCTTATCGTTTCAGTTTTAGCAAAAATGAAAACTCCCAAATCGGTCTCCAAAAAGGAGGATTCCAGGTGGGTGCTGCAATGAAATGCTTTCCGTTTTTACTTCTTGGTTTTCTCATTATGTCTACTATTCTGAGCATAGAAAATCAATGAAAAGTTTTAGTAATTCGAAGGCTGATAAATCCATGGGAGTGAGAGCAGACAGAGGAACTGGTACCTGTTCCATCTGTGTGCGTTCAGGTCCTGTAAGATGGGATGTTTGGAATTGTCCATGTTCTCCTGTTCCTACTAATGGGATTAGTTGGTAACTCTTGCGAGCAGCTGGTGCTGTTTTGGTGTTAGGTGGCCTTTCTGGTGGCTGCCTTTCTAATAAGGCAAAGTTACTCCCCTATTTTGCTGCTTATGCCTACCATTGTTTTATTATTGCTTGTTTTACAGTTTGAAGGACTTCATCAATGACTCGATGGATGATTTCTTCTCGGACTTTAAAATGAAAAAGAGCACAGCAAAGAAGGGCAAGTAATTGTGCATCAGCAGTACAGAGTAGGACTTCTCCTGGGTCAAAAGGTAGCATTCATTGCTGAGGTCGTGACTGCTGCAGGCTGTGAGAAGCAACGGAATGATTTCTGAAGGAACAGCCAGGGCCAGGGAGAAGGGGGAGGAAAAAAAATGGCCTGGAATCATAAATAGTCATCTATGTTAGATCTGATCTGAGCTATTGCTCTTGATTAATCAAAGCTGAGGTGCCAGAAGCCTCATTGGCAAGCATGTGCTCTATGCTGTAGGCTGTGTTCTGATCAGCTAAAGGCTGAGCATTTCTTAAATCACTTGAATTACCTGTTTCTTGTTCTTAATTTCGTAAGGCTTTAATATTCAAGATCCAGCTATATTCTTACATGCATTTTATTAGCAGGAATAAAGATGATGCTAAGGCTTGCTATTTGCATCTGGCAGGATTGCCAGGCCTGATGGCAGATGTATTGGAAAAATAAAAAGTCACAGTTCAGTTTCTATGAATTTACATCTTTCAGTGATGTGCAGCATGTAATAAAGGCACTGCAGACTCTCTCCTCTGTTGTCCTATCTTTCGAGAATTCTTTTAGTGCTAAGGCAGAGTCAGATACCTGATGTGCCAAAACCTTGAGCAGTTTCTTTTGAATTACAGCACCAAAAGATCTTCGGACCCCAAAGAAGCTGACAACTTCAGAGAAGGAAAATGCTTGCTGCAAAGAGCTGCAGTATCCAGAGGCTCTGAGCGACACTGATGATTCTGTGTTTGTGGACAGCCCCTGGCAGGAACACCGACATGGAAGAGTGAAGGACCTGAAAGAGAGTTGGAAGTGCCTAAAAGTGCCACCTCCACAAAGTGGGGAAGAATTGGCAGCCAGAGGGAGCGTGGGCTTCCTTGCTGGGAGGGCAGAAAGAAGCTGTGAGGGGAGCACAGGAAATAAAACATCAGCCACGCCACCCCAACAGAGTGCAGAGTTACAATCAGATAGCTCAGATGGTGAGTTTGAATCATTAATAGAAAGGATAAGGAAACGGAATACGCCCCGGAAACCCATCTTAAGCACAAGTAAAGCTGTCTACCAGCCGAGCACAAGAGGTAAGAAATGGTTCCTGGCTGACTTGCAAGCTGTCTTTTTGAAGCAATGATTTCTTTCACCAGTGTTTGTCACTTGATGGCTGCGCTCCTGACTCTGTGGCCATGAGAAATGTTGTGACTTTTCCCTCTGAACTAGAGAACATCAAGCCTCTCTGTGAAGGTGCCCAGTCCTTGGATGGAAAGGGAGTCAAGATACCAACATCAAAATCTGTTTCACTTCAAGAAACGCCTTCCAAGATAACGGCTTCTGTCAGAATTCCTAGGAGCGAATCTGTCGGTCGCTCACAGTCACAGAGAAAGTAAGTAGTTCTCCATCTTTCCTATAATCTAGGACCATTATAGATGGATGACAAGGTGCTGAGTGCTTTGCTTAGAGTGGCATTCTGGTTTTTCTAGTAATTACAAACTTCTGCTACCTGATCAACATTTGTTAATTGGTAATTAAATGGAAGCCAAGGCCATTAGTCTCAGGTATGACCAGGAATAATGAGGTATCTCCGACCTTCAGTGAACGATGGCATCTTTTCTTGTAGGCTTAACGTGTGCTCAGTGCCTGGCTGCTTCTTACAAGATCTCTCAAGTCCAGATTCCCAGTATGTGAAGTATTTCAAGAAGAGTAAAGAGGAGCTGACGCAGAAGCTTTACCGTCTCTATAACAGCACCATCTTTGAGCAGAAGGTTGGCTTGAAAATCAAACAAAAAGGAACACAAAGCAACTTACATTTTTATAGCTAGGAAAACCTAGTCAGTGTTGCTCCTCACTTTTTGATGCGATTGCTCTGTGCCTTCTTCAGTTAATAGAAGTTCTGTGTTACAGTAATGGCTTCTGATTCTGTTAGTTCAAGCAGTTTCTTTGAAAGGGATTTTTCAGCACTGTGATGCAGCAGTTTTCAGCTTGGCTCGCTTTCCCAGCTGTAACAGTGCCCCATCCTTAAGTGAGCAGATTGGGTGGTGTCCAGCAGGATCCTTCCTTGATGAGACAAACTGCAACATGAGGCTGCCTTGGATGAGTTTCATCTTTGAAGAGGTGACTGATGTTTGCGTATTTTGTAGCACCTGCATGGTCGTGATCTCCACCTGCCAGGAGCAGGCAGCTGTGTCCTTATGCTGCTGAAAGAAGCTCAGAGCCACCTCCCATCATTGCTCAGTCAGCCCGTGGTGAAGGAGCATGTGCTGGCAGACTGCAGCATTGCCACATGCTAATAGCTAGTGGTAGCACAAGCAGGTCTGCTAGCTGTCATCTCTCTTGCTGTTACATTCCCAGCTTCCCACCATGTACTTGCATGGTGCTCAGCTGAGCTGCTTCAATCTGCTCAAAAAAGTAGAGTGTGAGCTGGAGCTGGGAGACAAGTCTGCAGCAGGCAGCACTTCGTGTGGCTCGAGCTGCTTCAGAGCTGCTGCAGCCTCTTCACCTTCCCTAACATGGCTGTAACAGTTCCCAGCCACAAAAGGAAGAAATGCTGTTCCTTGCTTGCAGCTGACCATGGGCACGTGCTGGGGAGCAGCCACCAGAGAGCTGAAGGATAAAAGCACTTCCCTTTGGTGTCAGGGGCTGTTGCCTCGTGGTTAAGTCATGCTGCATTCATTTCTATGGCACGTTCCTGTCTGCTATCCCAGAACAGACTGAAAAGCTGCTTATCAGTTCACATAAAGCTGAGCTGAGCGGGCTCACCGTTGCTGAAAGACTTCCAGTGCTTCAGCCCTGTCCCTGTGCTGACAGGAACCACTTACTTAAACTCACTTAACTAATTCAGATGTGAGAAAACTGTCAGCAGAAGAAGTAACCAAGATAGTTATGATGAAGGCTTTTAAAACCAGGAGCAGCACAGAGGATAAACAGAAGGTGATTATTCATCCTGCAGTGTGAAGGTACACCAAGCAAAAATAGCACCTTGCAAGTTCAGAACAATCAAAGGCAGATGGTACTTGACATGTAAATTAAGCTCCAGAACTTCTGATCACACTATTATGGATGTTACAAATTCATATATATTGAAAAAAGGCAATGCACAAGAAAAATCTGGGAGGCTGTTTAATGCAAAAGAGCCACCTCAGGATCAGTGAGGCACTGCATTGCAAGGGGCAGCAGCTGGGCAGAGGCTGGCAGGGGAAGGCCTGAGGCATTCCTCACCTGTCCCTGTGTTCCCTTTGAGCAGCATGTTGGCCACACTTAGAGGCTGAATGGGGGACCCAAAGGACTCTTGTCTCATCCCACATTGCAAAAGTCCCCTGCTGGTTGTAGACATGCAGATGAGAGAGGAAGAAAGCCATGGAGAGTGGATGTCAGCCACGGCATTGTGAAAGGCACGAGTAGAGACGTACTGTGCTGACCACGTAGTACATATGAGGGGAAGCTGAAGGCCTGAGAAAGATAAAAGAGGTAGGAGAGGGTGAATTATACATGTACTGCTTTGTCTTTCAGTTACCAGAGAAAATGGTAATAAACTGGAACAAAAAAATGAGAAAAACAGCAGGATACTGTGTGACTGGGCAGACAAAGGGCCCCGAAGCACAGCGTTACGCTCGGATCGAGCTGTCAGAGAAAGTCTGCGATTCTGCAGGTAGGTAAAAGAAAACCTGTGCTGATTCATCTTTAGGAAAGCATGCTGCAGAGATTAAAATGTGAATTGGAGGAGACTGAGCCCTGCTATGAAATGCATTGCCTTAAACATCTCCACTAATGGTATTGCTTGTCCTCATCACCCTTCTAAAAGCCTGGGCCGATTTCAGAAATGTGAGAGCAGAGATGTTTGTGCCGACCTCAGTGGTTTGTTTATCTTATTGACTTAAAGGCATCCAGTAGATGTTCTGTAATGTCACTCTAAGAAACTGATGTCACCCATCAATGCTAGGCACCTCTCCTGTGCTGTTATCTAAGACTGAGCTTTGCTAGCTGCCTTTCAGCTCAACGCATTTTACCTGTTATTTTTAGAGAAGGCTCTGTTGTGGGTTTATTCTCATTCTGGCAGCTACCAAATAACATCTGTCAGCAAACAGAACATGGAAAGCTGCAGTTTGGGGGCTCTGTGCCTGTAGTTCCATACTGAATCTGCTTCTTTTCCTTCACCTCTGAAGGGAGAGGCCCTACATAAGAGAGGCAGTGTCAGAAGCGTGAAGCAGCGAGGTGGGGATGGAGGTTCAAGATTCCCCATTCCTGGCTGACATCCGTGTCTTCTCTTCATCCCAGATCGCCTTCGAGACACACTGATTCATGAGATCTGCCATGCAGCCACCTGGCTGATCAACGGCGTCCGCGATGGGCACGGCCGGTTCTGGAGGTTCTATGCCAATAAATCAGCTGTGGTTCACCCAGAACTGCCTGTGGTAACACGATGTCACAGTTATGAGATCAAGTACAAATTCACGTATGCATGCGTTGTGTGCAAAGCCACGTGAGTAACGTTTTGATCTTGCATGTGACTGTGCATTAACTTCTACCTCTAATTTGTTTTCTGGGCCTACAAGTTGGTTCAGTTGACATTGGGTAACCTTGTGAATTTATTTGACCAGTTGTCCCTGATGATCAACACCGATTCTGTTACAGGCTTTTTGTTAGAGGATGCTATCTCCAACTCTGGGCATGTACTGAGACAGGAATAATAACACTTATGGGCCTGCACTGCCTGCGTGTGGCTCATGCCTGTGAAATGCCTGTCACCAAACCCTATGTTGCTGCAGCAATAGATAGAAACAAGGCATTCCATTTTTCACTTACAGGGTGGTGAGGCACTGGCACAGGTTGCCCAAGGAGGCTGTGGATGCCCCATCCCTGCAGGCATTCCAGGCCAGGCTGGAGGTGGCTCTGGGCAGCCTGGGCTGCTGGTTGGTGACCTGCACACAGCAGGGGGTTGGAGCTGGAGGAGCACTGTGCTCCTTTTCAACCCAGGCCATTCTGTGATTCCAAGCTCTTCTGAAATCAAACCACTCTGTGTTTAATTAAGTCTGATTCTATGAAAACACAGAGACCAACCTCCTGGTGTCAGACTCTAGAAAACTGCCTGTAGCTTTTATAGCACTGCCTGTAGCTTTCATAGTGCTTCCTGCACGTGAAATCCAAGCACTTCTTCCTCCGTTTCAGGATTGGCCGCCACTCCAAGTCCTTGGACACGGAGCGCTTTGTGTGCGCGTTCTGCGGGGGGCGGCTGGTGCTGAGCCAGCCCAAGGATGGCACCCCTGCCAGGACCAACCTCACACCCTTTGCAAAGTATGTCAAAGAAAACTACGGTCTGACTAAAAGAGAGCAGCAGGGTTTGAGCCACGCTGAAGTGATGAGGAAACTCAGTGCTGATTTTGCTTTGAAAACGAGGCTTGAAGATTCCTTGTAGTGGTGTGCTACATTTGCTGCTTTGATGCCACTCGGTTTTTCTGTGTGGCAGGAAATAGATGAGCCTATTGTGGAACCTGTGAGTGTGTGTTGTAGAGGCTTCCAGACCACTTGTATGCTTTGGATTTCAAAACCTCCAATAAAGACCCCGAGGCCTTTTCTAAACTGGGCAAAAGTGAGTAAAGAGTAACGATGATGATGATGGCAAGTCCGTGGCGACGATGCACAGATCAGTCAGGCTCCCCCTCTTAGAAGGTGGACCCTTCCTTGGACACAGCTGTTAATGTTTGTGGTTTTCTGATCAGTGTTTATGCTCAGTGCTTCACAGCACGTCTTCCTTGTGAGCCATGGGTTTATTTTTTCACCTGCTCAGTGGTACAGATGCTGTACAACCTTCTGTGCGCTGGCCTGCCTGGGTCTGCCAGAAGAAAACCCAGGTACCTGAGCAGCCATCTGATTGTGTCTGGGTGACTTCTGGGCAGGGTAAGAGGCAGACCTGAAGAAAACTTCAACATGAGTTCAGTTGTCCTCCCAAGGAGAGTTCATCTGAGCGATCCTTGGCTGTTCTTGTTAAAAGCAATAGCTAAGCAGTGCCTTGACTCCGGTAGCAGGAGGTTTTGCAAAGTTGTCTGGTTCCTAGCGAGATCAAAATGCTCTGATTAAATTTAGACTTCAGTTTTGTCTCTGTCACTATTGTTTTTTTACCATAGAATGTGAAGATCCAGTCTGATGATGTAACTTTTCATGCAGAGCATGATTAAATTAGTCACGGTGTTTGTGTGTGCTGTGAACAAATCCCTCAGGTGTTACTTTGGAATAATCAATAAATGGCTTTTTATAACAACGTGTCAAAGTGAAGTAGGCTCTTCTGTTGCAGTTTAACCCAGGCTGTGTAGCTTTGCTATGTGAGGTTTTTTCCTAGGTCACCCTGCTAGCTGAGCTGGGCTCTGACTGCCTCCTGTGCTCTGTGAACACCCTCATCTTGTGTGCCTGGAGGGCTGCAGGAGGACAGAAAGCAACTTCATTCATGCTTGTTTCTAGCAGTGCCTCACCTTTACTGTGTGTGTATGGGATTCAGGGCCTGAAATGCATCTGCCAGGTTGCACTTCCTTCCTTGGAGGCCAGGACAGTCCTTCCCAAAAGCCCTGAATACACCTGAGCCGTTGCCCTCTGCCATGCAGCAGTGGTGCTCAGGGCTGTGGCTGGAAGGGGGAAGCCACACAATGGGACACATGCTCTTACCCAGAACTCCAAGCTATTTTGGGCAGAAATTTTGCATTGAAATAGAAATGTGATGTACAAGTTGGGGGGTGCTCTGAACTCCAGCACCAAGGACATTTAAAAAACAACAGCCTTGTACATCTAGCAGTTATCTTCCCAGCACCTTCATCACCTTCTCTCTTGGAAAGAACCACAATCTGTGCCCCTGAGCCAGCAAAAAGAATCCATTGTGTAAGAAGGTTCTGTGCTGAGTGTGCAACAGCACTACATGAAATAGAAGAAAACAGATAATGGCCAAGAAGGGCAGCTACTGGCACTGAATTTGGCATAGCAGCCATTTCATTTCTACTCCAAACAGCTTTTGCTTTGGAATTTTTTATTTGGGTTGAGGTACACTGAGCATAGACCCTATGTCAAAGCTCTTCCAGGTCTGTTCCCAGGCTTCCCTGTTACCTAACCAGTAATCCAGAGCCATTACTAGCTGTACAATCGTGGTCAACTGAAGCTACTAAAAGAGGGCATAAGTTGGCAGCATCAGATACAACAGCAGGGACATTAAGTCCTTCCCCCCTCTGTTCCTCCTGTGCTAGGCTTCTGGAATACAGATAAAGCAGAAAGACTTCTGTCAAATTATAGGAGAGGGAAACAACACGTTCCCTATGTCTGTGCCCTCCAGAACTGAAGTCTTCTCTACCAAGAGATGCTGCCTAACCCGAGTGCAGAGCGAGACTTGTGCTGCACGATGCAGCACCCAGAGAGGTATTGCTGCTCTCCATCAAGCTGGAGTAACACAGAACCTTTATCCCACAGAAGTGCTCTTTGCTGCAGGGGGCAAAACGAGAGGTACAGCCTCATATCTTCATTGAAAGGCAACGTGAGGCCACCCTGCAGCCACAGGTAGGTCCAGTGGAGTTGATTATTCGTGTCTTTTTTTTTTCCCCTGAAGGATCTGCATTTCCTCCTTCAGTCCAAAGCGGCCAGTTCCTCCAGGAGCTGCTCCTTCTCCTGCTGCAGCTCCTGCACCCGCTGCTTGTTCTGCTCCAGCCTGTCCTCCAGCCACTGAAGGAGGGGCCCACTGATGGCAGACATCTGGCTGCAGAGGTTCTTCGTGAACACTGGAAAGAGCGAGAGCACACCATGCCAGTGCAAGCACAAAGTCCATGCTACAACTACCCCAAAGCCAAGGGTGCTACAGAGAGCCAACAGAGCTTCCCAGCATCCTGGCTAAGGCAACCACTGATCCCCACAGGAGAGGGTCAGAACCAGCAGCTTCTGACTGGGTTATTTTACAGCCCTTTACATCTTCCTTTAAAATATCGCATTATTTTTTTTCGACCTGACTTTATGCAACACAGAATCCATCTGGTTACATGGAGTGTGTGACTGAAAATGAACTGCATGGCAAAGAAGGAGAGAGAAGTTTGTGCTCTTCTATTTTTGTTTTGTTTTTTTTTTTACAACTGCTCTTTATGCCAAAGGAAGCACTGGAGCTCACAAGGACTGTTACACAGCTGTGGTCTATTCTCTCCTGAAAGCAATGCCAGAACAGCCACTCCAGGCTCTGCTGTTCAGCTCACAGAGCAGCATCCTGCACTCACACAAAGGAGGAATCCTTACCTGAGCCGTTGTGAATCTTGGTTACAGAGTCTAGATGGGTGAGGCTAAGAGAAGAAAAATGTGGGTTAGTGACAACAGCAGTGAACGGCAGTGCAGAACCAGCCTCCTCCAAGCTGCTGACACTGCAGGTGCTTTTAATCTCTTCACTTGTTAAGAGCCCCTGCACATTCATAATGATAGCAGACTTTGCTCCAGGTAAGAGTAGAGGTAGAGCATCAAAAACCCCAATGCTGGTACTTTTCCTCATTTTTCAGACTTCTCAGTACTGGGGCCCTAATAGAACAAGGACACAGCTGCACGCATCACCATCAGCTCACACACACTTCAGTTCCTTTTCTGCACAGCAAAGGAGCAGATCACTGGGCACAGGGAAAAATACCAGGTCAAGAGCACCTGCAATCCATCACGTGAAAGTAATCAACCAATTTTTTTTACAAAGGCATACAGATTACAGATGAGATGCTTCTCATTTTCTCTATCCCTGCCAAGGCTGTGCTCTTGAGGTAGAACATGTCAGCAAAGACAGGGAGGCCTTAGGGAGGCCTGCAGCCCCAGCGTTACCTGTGAATCCTCCTGTAGGCATCTTGTTCTTCTTGGCACAGGATCTTGGGCAGCTCTACAGCTGATTCCAGACACACTTTCCCAATAGTTTCATGGGGGACAACGTGAATAGGAATTTCAATCCTTTCGTATCTAAAAAGGTATCAGATACAGTTAACTGCAAAGCAGCAGAGAAAAAAAAAGGAAAGAAAGCCTTTACCAACCTACAAGAGTCTGTTAAACTCATGGGATCAAACAGGTTTACTTTTGAGAACATGTGCTACAACTGACAGGCAATGGGAATCCTTTTATAACCACGCTCTTCTCCCAAATGCCAATGATAGAAATGCTCAAGTAACGAAAGCACCATAAAGCACCAGCACTGACAGCACAACACACAGCACGTGCAAAGCTGGTGCAGACTGAATGCCATGCAAGCTCAGAGCTCTGAGTGCTAGAGTTGAAAGCAGAAGGGTGAGCCCTTACACAACAGATTACAGCACAAGTTCATCTGCAATCTGCAGTGCTCCACATCAGATTTTAAGCTGTTACTAAGTTCTAGAAAAAGTCAGTCAACCTTCTTCAAGCAGCCTGCATTAACAGAGAACCAGATCAGGCATCTCTGTACAACATCTGCTGCTCCTGACGAACCCACAAACCACTTATTTGAGACAAATAAGAAAGAAGGGATTTAGATGAAACAGAAGAACATAAAATTCTTTCTTTGTACTCACTCTGAGCTCTTCTGGGCCTGAATGGACTGGAAACAGGTGTAGAGAATCCTACCTGTCTAAGAGAGACAGCACAAAGTCAGATTTCAAGTACCAAAAACCATCTGGAACTCCAAACTCCTTCAGGCAGAAGAATGTGCTTTCAAAGAGCACTCGAGCACTTTGCAAAGATGTACACTTGGGTGCAAACTCCGACTGGTATGCTAGAACTGTTTTCAAGCTCCAACAGATCCATTAACTATGAATAAAAAAATCCCAGACCAGAGCTGCTTGGGAAATCTGGACAAGACACCACTATCAGCTCATCCCACCCTGTAGCAACCTCATGAGGCTGCAAAAATGAGCTGGGCAGAACAGCTGAAGGGCATCCGAACTTCGCAATGCAGGCACGCCTCTTAAGTTACCTACCTTTGTGTTTTTGTCCTCAATGAAACAGGAGAAGATAAGCCCTACAAAACCCTGGTCCATCATCTGATACATAGCTTGCGTCCGGACATCTGTGGACAAAGAAACAAGATAGTGAGAATTGCACAGGTCACCTGAAGGTCTGCAAAGAGATTTTCCATCTTTTGGAGGCTGATACTGGAATTTGTAACAGTCACAAGCTTGATCTTAAAGCACACAATCCAGGACACAAAGTAAAAATCTTGCTCCTGTTTAAAATATAATTAAAGAGCGTGTCTTAAATATACAAGATGAGTTAACAAGACATCAGCACATCCAGATAGTCCTCTCCTACCAGAGGGAATTTGGGAAACCAAACTTTGATAGCTGGGATCTGCAGCTCTTCAGAGTCCAGTAAATTAAGTCATTTCTTTGCCGAGCTGCAGGCTTTTGTACAGAACCAAGACTGCTCTTACCCACATGCGATGGCCAGACGGTGATGTGAGGGTGAGAATGGTACCAACCCACAACTCTCATCGGACGTCCTGTCATCTCAGCCAACCTGTGTGTGAGTCAAGGTGCTTCCAAAACCAAAGGAGCAAATGCAAGAAACCCATCATACAAAGGCAACAGCAAGCACGGGGAAGAGCTTAAAAGTCTCACAGCTTAACAAAACCTCAGATCCCTGCAGAGAGGTGACAGGACACTTGGCAAGAAATGGACAGACACTTGAGGTAGGATACCACAAACTGGATTTTGCAGTTCCACCCCCACCCTGCCCATCAGAAGCACGGTTCTGCCTCACTTGTGACTAAAAAAGAGGAAACGCAAACGCTGTATCACAACTCCGGCACAAATGCAGGGCCGAACAGCAGCTCTGGGGAATGACGAGCGCCAGCTGAGCCCTGCGGCACACAAAGCGCTCCGGGCTGAGGCACCGCAGCGCTGCCGCCAAAGGATATTTCTGCTTCGGTGGACGCGGCCGAGAGCTGCTCGGGAGAGATCTCCACTCGGTCCTTCCTCTTATCCGAGCGGCGCAGGATGATCACGGAGTGGATGTGGACGATTCTGCTGGTGTCGACCTGGTAGAGAGAAAACGGCTGTTCCTCCGCTATAGGAATGGCCGCCTCAGGAGGGGGGCGCTGGGCAGGGCCGTGGCGGGATGCCGCCCGCTGCAGGCGGCGCTGAAGGTGACGGCGAGGGCCGAGCGCGGTACCTCTCCGATGCAGAGCCCCATGACCTCCTCCTTCTCGGTACTCAGCGCGTGGTTCAGACACACCAGGAACGCGTCGGCCTCCAGGTGCACGGCCTGCACCGCCATCTTGCAGCCTCCCGTCTTCCCCGCCGCCGCCGGAAGTAGGCTGGGCCCACCCCCCCCCCCCCCGGAGCGCTGTGCGGGCGGACCAATCCTGGAGCGGCTCCCGGCCTCCTTCAGCCAATCGGCGCGGCTGACTTCCGCTGCTGGGGGCGGGCGCTGCTATGCTACGGAAGTTCCGTGTGGACCACGCGAGCGGCGGTCCCGGGGTTCCGCGCGGCGTTCGCCGCCCGCACCGGGGCGGGGCCCGGGGCGTGGGGGGCGGGGCGGGGCGGGGCTCGGCGGCGGCGGCCATTGGGGCCCGCGAGCAGGAGGGGGGTGGCGGCGGGGTCAGGGGGGAGGGCGGGGAAGGCTTCGCCGGGCGCGCACGGCGCGGGCTGTCAGCGGCGCGGGGCCTCAGGTAGGTGACGGGCGGGGGGGCGGTTGCCACGGAGACGCGCCGCGCCCCCCTCCCCGCACCATCGGCCTCCCCGCGCTTCTCCCCCCGCCGCGCTCCCGGCCCCGTTTCGTCTCCTTCGGATCCCGCCGAGCCGCGTCCCGGCGGGGTGCGGGTTGGCCCCGGCAGCGGCCTCCGCGGTAGAAGCTCGGAACGCGGCGCCTTCGTCACGGGACGCGCTCCTCCCGCACGCCGCTCCGCGCTCGGGGCCGGCCCAGCTCCGCGCCGCGGCCTGCGGGGCGCGAGGGGGGAAAGGCGGGCACCCGGCGGGCTCCGGAGCCCCGAGCCGCACGGCCCGGCACCGCCCGGGTTGCTGCGTGCTGCCGAGAGGAGCGGCGGTGCCGTCGGAGCGTGACGCTGCATTCTGGGTGCTGCCCGGGGGCTGTTTGTAGGTGCGCGTTACGAACGGGGCGCTGGAAGGAGCGGTTTGTAGCGCTTGTTTGAGGGCTCAGCGAGCTGACTTTGTTTTTTTTCAGCCCCGCCTTCCTAAGGGCTCTTTTGTTGCTTGCTGATAAAATCGGTGACAAAGTAGGAATTGGAGACGTTTTTCCCTTCCTGGAGTTGCGCTGTGGCTCTCAGCCTGCGTCTGGCCGCGGCTCCCCTTTCCTCGCTGTGTTTGGATCGCTGATATCCCCGTCCTGCTCCAAACCAAAAGCGGTTTTGCCTGACCTGCAGCTTGTCTGGCAGCACAACCTTGAGCCTTCCACCCTGAGCCCACAGCTGTGGAGTTTGGGGGAGGTTTGGGTCTGATGAAAGGGGCAAAGGCTGAAAAGAACACTGCAAACTGCTGCCTGTTCTGCTCAGGGTCCTCAGGGTGAGACCTCACTCTGTGCACCCATCCCACCACCATGTGTGTGCACAGGGGGCACAGACATACAGTTGTGCTGTAGTCCTCTTGCCTGCAGCCTAATCAGCAAGCTTGAAGCAGGCCTGTGTTGGGACAGGAGAGGTTACCTGCTGTAGGACATGGTGGTGTTTGCTGACTGATGTTACTCTTCCACTGCTGAATCAGTGCTGAGCTGACGGCGTCTCCTCTTTCTGTAGAAATTCCAGCTTCGAACAGGCTGTGAAAGCAAAGTTGTTTTGGGGGCATGATGGAGCTTTTGGCATTTTACCACAGAGTAGGAGAGTGTCCTGGCCAAATTCCAACCTGGGTAATTACATTCTGCTGACTGAAAACGAGCAGCGGCGATTGCTGCCTTTCACTGCCGGGCAAAGCACACATAGGCTTGAATTTGTGAAGCAAAGTAGGGTGAAGCAGAATGACTTGGGCTTACAGAAACATCACTGTAACTCTCATAGCTCGTTCCTGAAGGCCTTGTGAGGTTTGTTTGGCTGCTGTTGCATTCCTGCTGATGCCAGTGCTGGGGCACTGCTTGGAATGGCTGTAAGGCATTGCAGGATGGCAGCGGTGCTCTTTGCGTCACACCTCCACATTCCCACACATCAAGCAGGGGAACAAACAGAACAGGAGAAAAAAGAAGTATTGAAAGAACGTTCCAGTCCTAAATTGCTGTGACAGTGCTGCTGGGGCTGACCTGTGGTTGGTGTTTTGTTTTCAGAAAGGCTGAGTGGTCCTTTGGTTCCAAAAGGTAGAGAACCACAAGTGTACAGTGTAGAAGGCAACGTGGAAGTGTGTTTCCTGTTCTGTCTGTATAACAATATTTTTCTCTCCCTGACCTTCCCTGCTTTATTTTGTACCCAGATGTTCTTGCCTCTGTCTGAAACATGCCTTGTAACTTCACACGCTTTTGGAAGATCACTGTGTTTCGCTGGGATAGGAATATTGCATCTGCTTCATAGCAGGAAGATGTTACATGTATTGCAGCTTAATTCTGTTCTACTTTAAACCTAGATAAAGAATGAAGACTGTCCGTACCATTTTGATTACCTCTTCTAGGGTTCAAAGAGAGAATCATTTTCCCAGACCTCCGCTTGCTAATGGCTCAGCTTGATCTAAGCGGTGTACAGACAAACTGGCTGATAAACCAAAACCCTTTTGGGAAGAGCCACCTCCATGTCCCAAATTCAACTCCTGCTGATGTTGTCGGCTCTTGGTAAGCACCTTGAGTCTGAACCACACGACGTGACTGGAGCCACTCATGAGAAGATGGTGTGAGTGCAGACCACGCTGCCGTGCCCATAAGGGATGAGAGGAAGGACCTGCACAATGACAGCTCCGCGAGTTCCCAGCGTGAGAGTCCAGCACCTGGAGTCTCATGCTTTATCTCCAGATTGATCTCCGTTCTCTTTAAGCTGTCACAAGTTTTGCTTTCGGGATTTAGACCGCCGTTAACTGCAGAACTCCTGCCTCAATCACATCTTTATTTTTCTTCCCTCCCCCCCCCATCGTTTTACGCGAAGACTGTTAATAGGACCGTTAGCGGAATAAGCAAAGCCAATACTCACAGGGTTTAACCTACGGCACCTTTAGCCCCAGAATGCCTTACAAACGCCGCTCAGCACACGCCTCCCACAGCACAGCCCGCCCAGAGACCTCCTTCCACCCGGCCACCACCTTCATTTCCCAGAGCCACTTCTAGGGACGCTTCGGCGCGTCGCATCTCCCACCGTAGGCCGGCCGCCCCCCGAGGTGCCTTTCAGCTCCCAGAGCTCTCCCCACGGATGTCCTGGGAACGAAGGAGCTGACGCCACACGCCTGACGGAGCGCGGAGGAGTGACGGGGGATGGCTGAAGGAGGGCAGGCCGGCGCTCCCCCCGTGCGGCTGTGGGTGCGACGCGTAGGTGTGTACTGCGATGAGCACCGCAGGACGTGGCTCGTGGCTGCGGAAGAGGCAAGTGTCCTTTGGGCTTCGCCGGGATTGTAGCTTTGCTGTCGCAGGTGCCTCTCCTGCGTTGCCAGTAACTGCCTCCTCTCTTTGTTGCTTTCCACCAGGAGGAAGGTATGCTGAGGGCTCGGATCCAAAGAGTTCAGGTTCCCCTGGGTGAGGCGCTGCGACCCAGCCAGCTCCCCCCATCCCGGCTGCCTCACATGTGGCAGCTGTCCCAGGGTGAGCAGTACAGGGATAGTAACTCTCGCGTTTGGGAGATAGAGCACCATCTCATGGTAAGGATGGTGGCGACAATAGACCATAGTCATTCCTGTTTGTGAAGTCATTTGAGATCCTTGAGGGACGGCAGAGGACTGTTATTGTATTGAAGTCCAGTAGCTCTCAGCCACAGTAACTGCAGCCGTATTGAACTTTTCCTTGTCGCTTACAGCTCGGTGGTGTTGAAGAACTGCTGCTTAAACTCGTGCCTGGTGATTAATCTGGTATGTGGAGACATTACCCCCGCTTTGTACTGTGCTCTGTTTATTCCTCGTCATTCTTTAATATGAATTTTTGTCTTTCAGGAGCAGTGGCTCTAGGAAGATGTCCTTGTATGTTTTGTACAATAAATGATTCTCTCTCCACTGAAATGCGGCCACCCCTGAGGTGGAAGCAGTTAAACAACACACAGCAACATCACATGAGTTTAGGACAGGCAGTGAAGAGGAGTATCGTGTCCAATTGAAACGTCAGGGGGAGTTCTAGGTAGGCAGAATGTAATTGCCCTACGTGGAGCTTGGCCAGGATGCTGGAAATAGGCAGTAGAAGTGCCATAGTGCAGAGGCTGGGCAGGAGGCTGACAGCAGCCCCAACTCCGGGCAGGGCTGAGCTGTGGCACTGCAGGGACTGAAGTCCTGTGCTGCGTACGACCACAGCAATGCTTTCATTGCGGGCTCTCCCACCCCTCTGTTGCTCCCCCCACTTTTTGTTTGTCTGTTGGTTTCTCATGAGATCCCGGTGACGGGTGGGTGCTGCAGCTGCAGAAAGTCAAACTGATGGCCTGATGTCCGCTTTCTGGGAATCTGATAATGGCAGAGCTGTTTCTTTTGGGGGAATCCCAAGAGGATTTCTCTTGCGACAAAAAATCCCCCCTTGTTGTTTTTCTGGGACAAACATAACGATGCTGTTCTGCTGTTTTTTCCCCAAGTTCCTCCTCCAGATGCAGTTGCATGGCTGTGCCAAACTCCGGGATGCACAGAGCTCGCAGAGAGGGCTCATCTTTTAGCAACAGGTTTAAAGGCATAGAGCTGTTAAAAAAGAGCCGTGTTCATGTGAGTCGTTGTTGGAATCTTTGTGCTTCCAAGTGGAAAAGGACACACACTGCAACCAGGGGGAAAAGGGAAGGGCCTTCAGGCATAGCTCCTACAACTTCCCTGCGCTCATGGCCAACGTTGACGGCCTCCAGCCAGGCCCAGGGGTGCATTGGGAGGCAGCTGGCAGGTTGCTCCCCAGGAAAGGAGTGCTGTGAGCATTTTGTATGTTCATTGGGAGTGTGGGGAATCCCATCTGTTGGCAGCAGGTGCATCCTGACCACCTGCAGTAGGGAGGGAAGCCAGGAGCTCTTTGCTCAAAGGCGCAGTTTTGCCCCCCGCCTTCCCCAAACGTTATTTCTACAGTAACATTTTCCTGTCGTTTTAGTTCTCTGAACATGTCCCAGAAGGATCCCTGCCAGAAACAAGCCTGTGAAATACAGAAATGCTTGCAAGGTACCGAGCATCATTTTGTCTTTTTGGTGTCTTGAGTTTTGGTGGAACCGAGTTCTTTTCACATCTCCCTGTTCTCCTTTCACTTGAGGAGGAAGCAAGCAAGCGCACGAGCGTGACCTGAGCACAAAGCCAACCAAATGGCAGCGACTGGTTTTAAAAGAATTCCTTTGTGCTTGATTGTAAGGAGTGAGGCACCCCAAGCACGAAACGCAGCATTTCTCACAGCTTTTCCAAGCTGAGCATTCTCTGTGCCGGAGCGAGAGGCTGTGTGTAGTCTCAGGACTGAGCTGTAGGCGGGGAGAGCCAGACTTGTGAGCTGTGTTGGAGTGGGAGGTGAGGCTGTGGGTGCGTGGAGCGAGGACACACACAGAGCTTGGAGCTGTGGGCACAGAGATGCGTGCAGGAGCAGCCAGGTGTGCGCCTGGCCTGGGGGCAGCAGGTGGGCTGAGGGCCTCTGGGAGGCCTTGACAGCTGTTTCATGTTCATTGAGCAAAATAGGCGGTGGGAAAATGGAGGTTTGGTGATAACGTGCTTGAGGTGCTTGAGCTGGGGAAGGCAGGTTGGTGACTCGCAGAGACAAATATGCTTCTAAACAATGCAGTTGCTAAAAATGGGATGAATAAGAGAAAGCGTTTCTGTGTGTGCGTGCAGCTCGAGCACGTTGGGAAGGGTGTTTTCTGAGTCACCCAGCAGAGCTCTGTGTGTGTGAGGAGCTTTGCTGGAGGGTGACTGGCTGAGAGCCCAAGGCTGAGGGTAACAGCAGTGCTAGCAGCAGCTGGGCATGTTAGCCAAAATGGAGCAGAGGGATGGCTTTGCTGCCTGCAGCAAGTGTTGTGGTGCAGCTGGTGTGGTAACAGCCCCCGATGGCTGGGGGATGGCATGGGAGGAGAAACATGGGGAAGAAGCAGGGAGAGGCAGCATTCAGTCAGTGGGTATCTGTGTTCTCCAGGATTGTTTATTTGGAAGCTGTGTTCAGCTCAAAGGAAGGGCTCCAATAATCCTCACCTCGTATCCCCAGCACTTGTAAACAGGCTTTGCTTTTGGTGTTTGGCCCTCTGCGGGTCCTGTTATGACAGTGCTGTTTTCATGGCTTTCACAGAGGTTATTCCAAGTGATGCACTCTCACAGGTCTGTGTACAGATGTGATCTGGATGGCTCAGTGTTACCAAAGGGGCTTTTCCTCTGCTGCATGCACACCTCGCTGCCCCACCACTTCTGTGGCCAACATGTTGGAGAGTTGTTGTTTGTGCTGTGATATTGCCCGAGTCGCACAGATGAAGCAGCTGAGTTGACAGCAAAGCAGTTTTCCCTGCAAGAATTAATGCAATAGAGGAAGTAAAGCAGAGCCTGAAGTGACCAGTGCGCACAGATGGTGTGGAGGATGAGGGAGGAGGAGGGCAGGAGCAGGGAGGTGCAGCTTCTCAAAGCCACTTTGCAGAGGATGACTGTTTCAAAAGATGTTGCCTGCTTTCTCTGTGAGACTGAATGCCCACTGTAAACCATAAACTTGATCTGTGTTTTGCCATCCATCGTATGATTGCCTTTCTGGAGTGATCCCTGATGAGTAGCAGGGCATAGCTGTGGAAACAGAGCTGCACAGGGATGGTTAGGAGAACCCTTGGAGCATGTGTGGTAGGAACATGATGGCAGGGAGGTGTCAGCTCTCCTTCCCAGGTTTGTGCCTTCTGGGCTGCCAGCTTCCTCCTGAAGCCCCCGAGCAGCTGGGGCTTTGGGCAGCAGGTGGAGCTGAAGGTGTTCTTCCCAAGGCACCAGCTCTGTTGGCCCTGCTTTCTGAGGGCTGGGCAGAAGCCCCGGTGGGGCTGAGCCCCTGCTGTCACTAATCAGTCAAGATGGGCGTCTTCCCCAGGACAGGGCTGGCAGCTCATCCCATCTCGTAGAGTCTGAGAGCATCCTCCTGGGAAGGAAAGGAGAGGTGAAGGCAGCACTGAGACGTGGCTGAAGGCCTCCCCGAGCCGGAGGTGGGAGCTCAGTGCAGGAGGGCTCCCGTTGGTGCTTTGGCTGCTGGCAGCAGGATGGCTTCCTGTGAGCAGTGCATCAGCAGGCTGATGGTGGGAAGGCTGCAGCCACATGGCCCACCTCTTCCTCCCAGCCCTCCGTGGAAGGCAGGTGCACTTGTCCCCATTTATATCAACTCCACTTTGCAAGCTCTTAGTTGTACAGCTGTACACCTTGCAGTGATGAGGCAGCTGGGCTGAGCCAGCTGGAAAGCACTCAGGTTAAAAAAGTACGGAACAAAGGGACAGCAGGTAGAGAAACCTCATTGCTGCTGTAGTGATGCAATAGATGCAAAACCGGGGGACTGAACGTGCTCCTGGCCGTAGCAACAGGGCTGACAGCTTCCTACCCAGCTGACAGCAAAGGGAGATTGTAGAGCAGGGGAAGTGGTGGAGCATCGGTAAGCAGGGCGTGCTTTTCAAAGCAGGGCACCACCCAGCATCCCAGGGTCAGACACATCCCCCCGGGGAACGAAAGCAGCTCTCCTGTGTAGACTTGGTGTCTCCTTCTTATTTTCCAGCGAACAACTACGTGGAGTCTAAGTGTGAAGCTGTGCTTCGAGAGATGAGGAGGTGCTGTGCCCGGTACCCCGAGGGCAGATCCATCTGTTGTTCAGGTTTTGAGAAAGAAGAGAGAGAAAAGCGTAAAGCTACTTCAGGAGGAATTCCCCCACCACCTCAGTAACACAAAGCAGCTCCAGCAGGTGCCAGAGCACGGACTCACCTACGGAGCCCAGGTGTGTGTTTGTGAGCCTTCTCTAGACTTTCTGGAAAGCCAGAGGGCTCCTAGAACACACCACCCCGCGCACCAAAAAGCAGTACCAAGAGATGGCCTGGTTGACAGACTTCATTTTCTGTACCAAAACATCATCTACGTTGTCCTCGCGTTGCATCCGTATCTGTGAAAAATCAATCTGATGCGTTTAGAATGCTTACCTTACTCTAACCCATCCCTGCTCTCAAAATGGAGGGCTGGAACCAAGTTACTGTGGCTTCTGGAGGGGGAGGTACAGGAAATGTGCTCTTAAGAATGAGTGAAAGTGTGACACATGAAAACAAAGCCCATTTTGACACAGCAAAGGTGTTGCTGCCGTCGGGCAGCAGTTCCAGGCAACATTCACCTGTCCAGGGGTTCAAGCTCAAGAATGGGAATCAGGTCTGGGGTTTGGTCCCAGGTCTTGCATAGCTCACGGTGACCAGGCGTCACTCTGCCTAAGTGCCTCACTTTCCCCCTGGACAGAGTTTAGATGACTTTCTATTTGAATTGCCTACAAGCTGCTATTTGCATGACAATGAAGATGTTACAGGAACATTATTTCAGGGATTGCTACAGGAATAGGATCTTTTTTTTTTTTTTTTTTTTAAGAAAAAAAAAGAAAAAAGAAAAAAGAAAAAGCAATATTCGTTTGGAAATCCTGACTGTTGATATAAAATTTATAAATTTCTGTATAATTGAAGACCTTTAAGCAATACGTTACCAATCCAGCATATCTGGCTGTGCTGGAACCCAGAGGCCTATCACAAAGCCCTGGGCTAGATCCAAGAACCGATTTAGGTGCCACTTCTGAACACACAGTTGTAGGCACCCTCTGTCAGTACAGCACTTCAGACTCACACACAACCCGATCCGTCTGCGTCTGGACCCCAGGGAGAGATGGCTCTTCAGAAACTCTCACCTGCACAGCAGAATTTCCTGTGACCTGTAGGAAGAGCTCAGTAGTCAGGTTCCTGCATCACCCTTCAGAGCTGCCTCTGTCTCTCCGTCCACTGTAGCAGGAGTCCAGGCACCTCAGTGGGTGCCAAGTCCATTGCAGGGCCCAGGCACCACAATACCAGACTTCGAACCCACTAGGCTCCTAACTCTGTCATTAGATCTAGCCGTAAAGGACTTTTGTGCTGTGATAATTAACTACAAAATACAGCTTCTATAAACAGACCACTGTAGTCTAGGCACAATAGTTGAGTGTATTGAAGCCTAGAACGGCAAACCATCTGTACCTGCTGCTCTGAAATACCATAACACAAAATAAATGACTGGAACAAACTGCAGTCTGTGTGGTTGTTTACTGAGAGCAGCTGTAAGCTGGGCTGCTTGGCTACGTGTGATATCATCAGGTTGAAATAGAAGCTGCTTGGTATTTTTATAACTGGGACTTGGGCTCAGATTAATTCAGGGCTACCCTGCCCTCCCACCCACAAATGACAATGACAGAACGGGGGTGATGGGGCAGGAGGTGCTTGGAAAGCAGAGGCAAAGGATGACAACGATGAGAAGCAGCTCAAACACTTCACTAGTGGCTCATTTTTCCCTCCTGCCCTAGGAGCAGCAGGAAGAAAATCATTTACTGTACATCAAACAGTTGTTCAGGCTTCTGTTGCACCCACTGAAAGGAAACCTCTGCCTCTGTGCCCAGTTCTGCTCAGGTGGAACGAACTGGGTGAGCTGTGAGATGAAGACATGCAGGTCCCCGAGGAGTCAGCAGATCTCACACAGAAATTAAAGCAAAACCGTTTAATAAAATATCACTTCAACAAGCATTTACATGTAATATATAAAAAGACTTTAAAAAGCCTAGTGTGTTTTAAACCCTCCCTTGCTGGCGTGGATGCCAGAAGCGGCTGACACAGAACAAAAGGGACGTGTGGGTTGGAGGGGTGGGGTGGAAGGACCTCACCTTGGCACCTGCAGTAACAGAACTGCATCCCCAGGGCCTGATGGGGCACCAGAACTCGCAGTGTGGGCACACAGCATCCACCAGTCTCACAGTGGCACAGCAGAAAAGATTTGCCAGCTCCCAGCTGCTCCCTGCCCACCTTCACACCCACCAGGATTTGCCTCAACTGCCCTCTTCCCCTCGCAGCAGTTGCTGAGATGCTCTGGCTCCCTCTCTGGGCCATTCCTCTCTGCAGCAGCAGCTGAGGACCCCATGGAGCAGAACGCAACACCTCCCACCCTGGGCAGTGCCTGACCAGAGGCTGGAGGGCAGCCCCAAGGCCTGTTAATGATTTACCTTCATTCTGTCCCTGGAGAAAGGTTTGTAAAGAACAGTGCAGCCAGTTGGGTTGCTCGACACACCAGGCAGAGGGGAAGCAGCACTTCCCCTGCAGGAGCAAGAGATATCCTGCAACACAGATGTGTTAATTCACACAGTTCAGCTATGCAGGTTTCCTACAAACACCTGCTTTTTGGTTTTTTGTCACTCCACTCTCAAGCATGAATTTATTGAGGACCTATTTGCTGCATCACTTCACTCCTGCAGCTCGTGATGGCTTTCCTAAAAGTCATCATTAAAAGGATGCGAGCCCAGCTGCTCCTCCCTTCACCCCAGAAGCAGAGATACCAATTTCTGCTTCTTGACTGCCTGCAGTGTGAGAAAAACACCAACCAGATCAAAGCATTGCCACAATCACACTTCAATCAGAGGCGAAACGAAGCTAATGGCTGTCAGTGCTCATCCCAAAACCTCTGGAGGCTGAACCCACACTCCCAGCTCTTTCAGCAGCTCTCTGGGGACGAACCCCCCTTCTACCCACACCAGAACCAGCCACGTATGTTCAGAATGGCATCACACAGCACAAGAGATGGGCTGGGGCACCTCCTGGTCACTCACACACATCACTGCTCTCCAGCTTGTTCCCTGTGAAGGCTGTGCTGACCCACATCAAAAACGTTCTGGGGAAGAACACCTATTTGTGCCTGCTGAAGGACATCACCCCAAGGTCATTCAAGTCCCCACGCTCTGCCAAGTGCTAATGCCAATCCAGCACGGCCACTGCAGAATACCTCTAAGATGCATAGATTTCATTTTTCTTGTGGGTTAGAGTTCTGCTCTGCACACAACTGCCCCAAGAACAGCTGAGCCCTGCGCCAGGCTACTGCTGGCAGAAATATACAAGGGGATTAAGCAAGCAGCTTTTTTGGGAGGGGGAACTGTAAATTCAAAGAAAGAAGGAATACAACCAGGGCAAAGAGCATGGAAACTGCCTACTAATACAGGGGAGCCATACCCTGGTTTTCCCCCCAGTTTTTATTGTTCAGGCACAAGCACCCTGCTTCTTGTAAGCAGAAAGGCCAGAGATGGTGCTCAAAGCAGTTCTAACCAGATTCCTCCTCCTCCCCCTTCCACTCCAATGGAGCTGGCAAAAAGGAACCCGGATCAGTGCGACGTACCCTAAACAGGGATGCAGTTCCTACCTGCAATCCCACCCCAAGCAGTTACAGCTTTAAGAGCATCAACTTTGAAGCAGCCTGAGGTCACAGCAGACCTCAAAACACTGCTCTGAGCCCCAAGGTGGCTTACAGTAAGTGGCACAGCAGAAATACGCACTGCTCGTGCCAGCCAGCCTGCCACAGGCAGGGGAGCAGCCTGGGACCAGCCCACCACAGGAACAGAGCACCTCAGCACACCTCAGAAGCTGGCAGCCAGCAGCTGAGCAAGGTGCTGTATGGAACAGGAAGCTGGGAGACTTTCAGAACACAGCAGGGCCCCAAGTGCCACAACACCGCGCTCAGTTTCCATCAGCAGCACCAGAGCTGCACTTCCAGTAAGGGCTATAAATAACAGCAGAGGGAAAGCCAAACAGCCACCTACGTGCAGTGCAGAGGCAGGGAAAGGGAGAGAACCCCCAGCACACAAAGTGTGGATGTGCTCCTTACCCACCTGCCCTGGGCACAGCCCATGCTGTCCCTCAGCACCTCTGTGGCCATACCAGGACAGCCAAGCACACCTGCACTTCACACACCAGTTCTGCACAGATGGAAGCTCAGGCTTTCCAGAGACCAGGGCAGAGAAAGTGCAAGATAAATAGCAGTGAAGAGCTGACAGCTGGTGTACAAATATACTGGCAGACAAACATACAGGTCCCAGGCACTGGGGAAGAAGCATGTTATAGAGATTTCTCTGCCATTAAGTGTTTATGAGGCTGCAACTCATCCAGCAACTCGAGGCTAGGCATATTCAGTGAGGAAAGGAATCACTATGATACACTGAAGTCAAAAGCTTTCAGGCCAATACAGCACCCAGACAGTCCAGACAGGTAAAAGTTGGAAATCCAAAGCAGAGTTGTAAGAAATAAGGGCTGGGACCTGCGAGTGTAGGGGCTGCAGAGGCCAAACCTGCTGGAAACTACCACAGACTTCTACACAAGAGGAAGAAGAGGACAGGGGAGGCTGGGCACGATGAGTCGACTGTAGTTCCTAGGAAGCCATTCCAAGCAGAAATCCTCCAGCAAACCCTCCAGTCAGGATAACATTCTTCTTCAGAAATATGATCACCTAAGCATGGGAGAGAAGAACCAAGAGTGTTACCCCAACAGCAGCAGCCTCTCATCCACCCTCCCCACAGTAAGGCACCTCAGGCTGCTCTCTGCGGTGGGTAATGCTTGGAGCAATGCTCAGCCCCAGTAAAGTCCCCCCCTCAAGCTCCTGAGCTGTGACACAGCCCCAGCACAGCCCAGACCCTCCAACAGCTGTCACACAGCTGGAGCCCACTTGCACCCCATGTCAGACATGTGAGGCTCTGCCACAGGCAGCACACTGTGACAATGGCAGAAGGGGCTGCTGACAGCACGCGCGTGCTGCACCTCGGTGCTGCAGAGCCCAGTGCAACCAGGCCACTCTGCTCCTAGACCTGCTTAGTTTTTCCTCCCCACCCCTGCAACTCCAGCACATTTTCTTTTAACCCCAAGGAATTTCCACAACACACGGTGAGCTGGCATCACACCGACGTGCCTCAAATACTGTTTGCCATCTCACTAGTTTTGTTTTTACACAAGCACTCCCCCTTTGCACGTGCATAACAGAAACCATCCCATAACCAGGAAACCACCCCATTTCTCGCTGTCCCTCCTGCTGTGCAGGATACCTGCACACACCTTGAAAGAGTTGTCTCACCTCATCCACTTTGCTTTTCACTTCTGGCGACATTTTGTTACTGCTGCTGTGAAATTTCAGCTGCTGCTTGGCTTTGTTCACGTCGCGTTCCACGAGCTTCCAGTCAACTTTGATGTACCCTGTATGGTTTGCAATCTAGAATTTCGAGAGGTGGAATGAAAGACTGGAAGTTTTGTCAGAACAGAACCCTCCTGGCTCACCCACCCACCCCTTCTCACACCCTGGACCAGGAGGTCAAGAGAGGATGAGCACACAAGCTTAAACAGCAGCCCAAGCATCACTCGTGTGGCTGTATTAACTGTCCTGCAGCATCTGCCTGCCTCAGTAATCCTCTAGAAGAAGGGCACGCTGCAGCTTACCCCGTTTCAGCCCCTCCTCTACCACAAAGCTGGCATCCCCTCCCCCTCACAACTGCCACGTCCGCTGCTGGGACGCTCTGCAGCTCTCCTGCTGCTGTGGGTGGACTCTGCTATTAATAGCCAGTTCCTCCCTAAGTATTTTATCTGGTCAGGATGATTCAAGGGTGAAGCTCTCCGGGCTCAGAGCAAGCTTCGGGCTTTCAGCAAAACAAGCAGAACAGGAGGAGTGAGATAGAGCACCTCAGGAGCAAACAACCAAAGATTGCTGAGAGAGCCTCCTGTGGGAGGTCCAAGCTGCATTTCAGGATATCCAACAGGTTCCCCTCAGTTCCAGAGTTCTTAGAAACCAGAAGGACCAGAGAGTTTCCTCCTCCTCCTCGGCACATTACAAAGATCCTCATCTGTTTTAGCCTGACTCCTCAGGTAGCGCATCAGAGACGCAAGTAAACGTTCTAATTAACTTCATAAGCAGCATCTCAGCACAGCTCCAGTTCTAACAGGCTGTGGTTACAGCACCTGTGGGGATGGGGCTGCCAAGGAACGTGTGCCCACAGCATCCAGAGCTGTGCAGAGCAGGGAATGCCCCACACGCCCCAACAAGCAGCCATCAGACACAACCCATCCTCACCACCAGCACTTTCCAGGAGGCCCAGCCCACCCTTCACACCCACCTGAAGCAGGAAAAAGCCGCCTCCCACCGCCGTTGCTGCCAGCTTTCCAACCTTCTGGAAGATGAATCCAGTACACCTGCAAACCAACCAGGATCCAGTGAGAACAGGACACCACTCACATCCCTCAGAACACATCCCACAGACAATTCTGCCTTTGGTGCTAATTGCTCAGTGCTCAGAGACAGCCTGACTAACAGCACAAGCAGAGAAAAAGGGAAAGAATTTGTGCCCAGCCAAGTGGGACGCTTTACAACTTTCTACTCCTCACTATGGCATTTCAGGCTTTCCACAGTTGTGACTCTTCTCTCTTCAACACCAGTGCTCTCCCAAAAGCAAACTGCAAACACGTGATTTAACCAAAATCAACACGTGATTTTGGCAGGGTGCTTTTTGTTTTTTTGAGTAGCAACATTTGTGAAGGAATTTCTTCACAGTAAGGGTGATGGAGCACTGGAACAGGCTGCTCAGGGAGGTTGTGGATTCTTCTCTGGAGATACTCAAGACCCAGCTGGATGCCTACCTGTGCAGCCTGCTGTAGGGACCTGCTTTACAGGGGGGTTGGACTCAAAGATCTCCAGAGCTCCCTTCCAGCCCCTACAATTCTATGATCATCTTCAAAAAGAGAGCTGGCAGCACGCCTGCTGCTGCTCCACAGAAGAGCACAGAAAGCAGATCACAAGGCTACAGCTTCTTCATTGCCCAAACAACTTTTACTTTCATTTTTCAAATGAGAAATTTCTGATGCAATGGTTCAAAGTTACACTAGCCTCAAACATGGTTTTACACTTTCAGCATTGCTGTAGCCACCAGAGCTCCAGCAGGCAGCACCCCGAGTGCAGAGCTGGGCATACTGTGTCACACAAAGCAGCCTTTGCTTTGACCACAGTTCCCCCATCAGCACAGCAAGCTGCTCTTGCTCATTTTTGAACAGAAACACTTAGTGAAGTTACTGAAGAAGCCACCAGCTTGGATATGCTAGGACAGAACAATCCATCACACACTTTTATCTCTGTGTCACATAAAGACGGTGACAGCAAGATGCTGTGAGCAGAGCCACAAGCTCCAGCCAGAGCACCCCGAACCCCAAGCAGGCAGCGTGCCCACAGCACCAGCGTGCAAGGCACGGCCAGCTGCTCCCAGTGAGACATTGGCACAGACCCCACAGCCACCCCTCAGGGAGAACACTGCTGGAAGAGCGAGGACTGCCTTCACCACACAGAACTGCCACTCACCATCCCGTCACCCCTCCGATCACCAGCTGTGTGGCCACGTTGTACTTCTCGGCGCTCGACCCGGAGCTGGGAGCAAAGACCTTCTTCCACCACGGCCGGCTCTTGGTGTACTCGGCCAGGTCCAGCACGTTGAAGGCGTCCTCCTTCCTTCCTGCGGGAGGGCAGGCACGGAGCTGAACGACGGAGCCGCCAAGCTTCCCGCCTCGCAGGACTCGCCCTCACACCCCACCCAGGCCTCACCCCGCCGCTCCCGCGCTCCGGGCCCCGGAGGGAAGGCGGCGGGCTTCTGGGCCCGGCTCCTCAGCGCGCACAGGCGCAGGCCGCACCGCCCGCCCGAGGCGTCGCTAATGGAAATAGCGCCTCATAGACCCCAAGGGGAACGCCGAACCAGACCGCCCAACCGCCGGGATATGGGACCGGGAGGAGGAGCCGCCCCGGTGGGACGAAGCCTGACACCGCCGCCCACCTCCGCCCGACGCAGCCATGGCACCGCTCCGCTCTGCCACCAGGCCGGCCTCACTACGCATGCGCACCGCCACGCCCCCTTTTACGCCTCATCACGTGGCTCCGCCCACGTCGTAACCACGCCCACCTTGTAACCACGCCCATCGCGTTGCTCCACCCCCACGTAGCCCCGCCCACTCGCAGGTCCTGATCTCCGGGGCACCCGCGTGGATGTGGGGCACGTGGCTGTGGCGTGGACACGGCAGTGTGGGGCTCGCAGCTGGGGGTCACAGCGAACGTCGGCTTTCCATAGGGCACAGCAGGTCTGGCTGAGCTCTGAGCATGCAGTGCCGAGGGCTGGGGGTGGAAGGGGTAGGGGGGCAGTAGCCCCATGCCCCCAGTGACCGTGCTCTCATGAACACAAAGAAAAGGAGACAGCACTTTGTGAAGGTTTATTGACTGTCTTGCAAACACAAAGTTCCCGTGTGCTCTTCGGGTTGCCAAACCCCGCAGCACCGCTCGGCATTCCCCGCCATGCTCCCAGCAGCTCCATTCATCCCATGTCCAACCGCAGATCCTGTGCGTGCAGCATGGTGGTGGCCCTTTGGTGACCCAGTAATCAGATGTAGCTGTTAGTGAGACTGTCGGACAGATCCTACACCGACTACTGAGCGGCCAAGGGCACCGTGTCTCCGCTGGGGCTCCATCCTCCGGGCAGGGCTGGTGATGAGCAGAGGGATGGCTGTGGCAATGGAACAGCTGGCTGCCCTCTAGCAGATTCTATCTTGGAAATCCCACACCAACACTGATGTCAGGCAGCGTCGGGCTCCTCTGCATGTCTGCTAGCTCTGTATCCCTCAGTGCAGGGCCTTCCCTCATGCCCCCCCGGTGCCAGCTGGGTCCCCCCTGAACATCTCCAAAGTCCCCACTGTCCCCAGCATTGATGACATGGCCTCGTCCTTCCCCACGCACGTGCACTGTAGCCTGAGATGGGCACTCAGCTTACTCCTGCGGTGGGGAAGGAGCAGTGCTGCCAGCACTGGGGGTCCCTGTGCTCCAGCTCAGAATGGAGGGTGGCACCTGTGCAGCCTGCAGCCATCAAGACTCCACTGCCAGGCACCAGTCTCACTCAGCCCAGGGAGTGCAAGCCCAAAAGCCATTCCCTGTCTCAAATACTTCCTGTCCCTCCCAGTGCAACCGCCACCTCCTAGCCCACATGGCCGGGTGACCCAACGCTCAGCGTGACCTGCACCAGGCAATGAGCATCCAACAAAACCATCTTCCCCCAGCAAGCCCCCTCTTGCAGAGCCCCTCCAAAATGCTGGGACCCCCCCTGGGTGCCCCACTGCTGCACCATACCTGGTCATCTCCACCAGACAGCGTGGTCCTCTGCCAAAAGCACGTGTCCTTGGTGCACGGGGCCACGGAAGGCTCCAGGCTGCTACCGTGGTGGCTCAGGGGGACATCTATGTGCCACCACCCTCATGGCCATCGTTCACTGCTGAGGCTGCAATGGAGAGATCTGCTTTTAGTACGGTGAGAAGCGACGGCTGAATTCCCCTTCCCCTGGCTGGGACGTCCGTGGTGGTGTCACACAGCTGTGCTGGGACAGCCCCAGCACCGCGGCTGTTCAGGGACACGCTGCAGTGCACAGAAAGGAAATTTGCAGCCCAGCCCCGTCAGAGCAAGAGCACGGGGATTTTCAGCGGGGTTTCTCTCTCTGCCCCTGCCTCTCATTCTCTCTTCTCGTTTTCTGGAAATGAAACAAACTCAGGCTCCGGCTTTTTGTGTCGCTTTGGTGGGGGTGACGGCCCTTCTCCTTCATTCCCCTGTGGCTGCAGTGGGGATTTTTGTCTCTGGATGGCTCCATCTCACACGGCTGCTCCCTCTCTTGCCGACCCCACGGGATGGGATTGGGCAATGGGGATCCCTGTGGTGCTGCGTGCTGCATCCCAGCAATGGGCAGCAGCTTCAGGCTGCGCGGGAGCTCTCTGTGCATCTGTTTCTTCTCTGCAATGATTGAGGGAGGATTTTTCTGGGACAGTTCTGAACCAGCCATCCCTGTGGAGTGACACTCAATTGCTGTTGTTAAATTTAGCCCTGTCTGGGGCTCGCCAGGAGCTGTGCTGGTGCAGGGATGCCTGAGCTGAGAGGTGGGGGACGGGGAGGAAGAGCAGTGTCAGGCCCTGAGTGCAGCCATTGTGGGGTGGAGAGGATATGTGTCTGAGTCCAATCACCTCTGGAGGTCTGGGGTTTACTTCAGCCTCCCATTTTGGCATCTGAGATGATAAGCTGGGCACCAAAACCTGCTCAACTCAGTGTATGTAAACCCATCTCCAGGCTGACCCAGCAACAGCATCCTGCAAAGCAATTGCTCCGAGCTTCATTTAATCAACCAGGGTAATTAGGTGATTTAGGAAGGACTGCGTGCCTGGAGGCTGCTCTGCTTCTCCCAGAGCTGAACTCTTTTAGCATCGCCCCTGCAAAGGCAGTGGCTGTAGGAGCATCCTCTGGCAGTGGGCCCCCCTAAATGCACGTCCCCCCTTAAATACACGTTCCCTCTAAATGGACATCTCTGCCTAAATGCACATCTCCATTCAACTCCACAGGTGCAGTTTGGGAGCACAGCCACAATGCTCCACCATCTGAGCCATCCACAGCTGCCTCCAACACAGGAAACAGGAGAGTAGAGCCTCCTCGCTGCCCCACTTACTGCAGGGAGAGGAGGAGGGGGGGGACCCGCTTTGGGACCTGCTCCACGTTGGCATTTCTGCTCTGGGGCTGTGCTGAGAGAGCTCAGAGCTGGGTACATGGCCTCCCACAGCCGTGGGTGGGATGCTCAGTGTGGGGCTGCATCCCTTTTTTTGGGGGTTGGGGCAGCAACTGCACCCAGGAGGGCCAGGTGTTTCCCCATAACCCAGAGCTTTGGTGCTAAAGGAAGAACTTTTGCCCACAAGGACGGAGGAGGTCGGAATCCCCAACAGCATCCTCTGCTTTGGCCGAGGGACGGGGATCCGCCGTGGTGTGCAGCACCGTGAGTCAGCATGGCCTGGCTCCAGGCAGGCATGACCACTGCATTGGGTATGTGCCAGCCAGCAGCATGTGCCTGCAAGCCCACGTGGCAAGGCTGTGCCCTGGGCACACAGGAGGAGAGATGGGTATCACAGCCCTCATGTCCCTCGTTGTCACTGTGCCCTCTGCCCATGCGAGTGCTGGGAAGGGCGCACTCCATTCTCTGCATTCCTGAGAAGCCACCGTGAGTCACCCCCCCCCCCCCCCCCCCACACACACACACAAATAGAGACACACACAAAAAGTCCCAGTAGAGATTAGACACCCTGCACCATGTTCTGAGTCATTTCTACCCGCCCCAGCCCTGAGATGTGCGCAGTTTGGAGAAACAACTGGCGCTTTCTGCCTGCACGTGGGTCCTTGGCACACCCCAAGCTGCATTCTTCTGATGCCAGGAGTCAGGCCTGGCTTTCCCACCCCATCTGCACTGCAGGATGCTGCCCTGGAGCAGCTTCTGAGGATGTTTGGGGTGGGTGGATGTGCCCAACAATGCACCCCGGGCAGGATGCAATGCCGATGCCATTCTCCAGCATCACCCATCCCAGTGCAGGCGATGCTGATACTCTGCAGTGGCGCTGTGCAGCTCTGCAGAGCCCTCAGAAATGCTGAGCAGTGGTGGGGCCGCTCCTTTGCTCCTTCCCCACATCGGCCAGGTGGTTCCTAGCAACTCCCTGTCTAGTGCCCCTGCGTTACTCATGGCAAATAGCAGTGCTGTTTGCTCTCAGACAAACCCTCCTGGGGCTTTGTCTGCAGATCACATAAACCATTTGGCAGCAGCAGAGCACCAGGTGCCCTTCGGTTTCATTTCTGGATCCTCTTTTGATATTACAGATCATATTCCTTCTGCAACCTCTTATCAGACCCCATATCCTGCCCACTCTTCCATCCCTGGGACAGGAATCTGGGGCTGCATCCCGGTCGCTGGAAATGGTGAAACCCAGCAATCCATCAGCACCTGCCTGTGCCAAGAATGTCACTTCTGTCAGTGCCTGGGCTGCTGCCACTGCAGCCCAATCTGTGATCTGAACGCCCAGAGCTTCCCATCCCTGACCCCAACCTGCACTCTGCCCCCTCACCGTAGCTCTATCTGCTTGGTGACATTGTTCCTTTCCAGCCTTTCCGGGAGCACACAGTCCTGCAGCTCCAGGAGATTCCCAGGCAGGGACGACTGGAAGGGAGTCACGTCCATGCAGTGGGGAGCATTGCCAGCAGCACGGCTGTCTGCTCTCTGCCCATCGCTCCCAGACCTGGCTCTGCCCTTTCTCTCCCAACACGGGGTGATATCCCTTGTAATTCCTTGCACTGAGTGGTGTCACAGCTTCCCTGTGTGAGCAGGGACCCCACGTTGTCTTGCTCCAAGTTGTGGGGACATGAGCAGGGGTGAGCAGTGACCAAGGTGATGGAAGGATGGGAAGAGTTTGTCATGGAAAGCCACAGCTCCGCTCAAGGACATGGCTGTGGGGCCAGGTGCAAAGCACCCGTCTGTGACACACTGCTTGTTTTGTCCCAAAATATTGTCTGGGGATGGATTTTCCCCTTGGAGTTGCCATAGAGAGCAGGCAGGATGAGAGAGGATGTCCCCATTGAGAAACAGCCCTGTGCTGGGGATGAGAATGGAAGATGTCCCCAGCCCTGTGGGGAATGAGATGGGGCTGGGATGGTGGAGGTGCCAGCAGTGGCAGCGGGGATGTGTTCCCCCAGCCTCATCCACTTGGACTGGCCTTACCCAGGGCACAGCTCCCAGCTCCCACCCCATCCCTGGGCACTTCATGCCAAGCATTCCCATCCAAAACCCCAAGATACCCACACCTCCATCACCCCCATCTGCATGCCCCAAACACCAGCCTGATCTCAGAGCCATCCCACAGACGTTTCTGCAGTGCTGGGGCTGCCCTTGCTTTCCTCTTACCCTGCAGTGATTTATAAGGTGCTTCCCACCTCTCTTATCTCACAGCTGCCAGGATGGCACAGAGCACTGTTCCTCACCTTCCAGCTTTTCTGGGGGATTCTGGGAACAGAACAGAGGGAAAGGAGCTTCTGGAAAGGGTGTCCTGGGTGTCTCCCCATCATTTCCCTCCCATGTGGCTCAAGGTGAGATTATGGGGCCAAATCATTGCCCAAAGGACAAAGAGACACCCATGTTGCTGCATGATCATGAGCATCCCTCACCTGCTGTCTGCAGGACACGGAGCCACTGCTGCTTCTCAGCAAGAAGTCACCTAGAGCTGCATCCTAATGACAAACCTTAAACTGCCATTTGGGATCTTGCCCTAAATTGTCTTTTCCTCGAGCACCGAGGGCTTAGAGGTCCAGGAGGCAGCTGCCAGTCCCTCGGGCTGCCTGACCCATACTGACCCACGGGACACACACGGCCCACAGCCCCAAAACCACTCTCCTTTCTGCCCCATGCGGTGAGAAAGAAGGTGAAACCAGGCAGGGACCGCACCTAAATCTCCCTTCCTCTGCAACCCTCCCTTTCCTCACCTCGCTGCCGGCTGCTGGCCAGGACGTGGAGCCAGCTGGGTCCTGTGGCCGAGCTCCGCGCCGTGTTTACCCTCCCTTTCCCTTTGTTTTTTCCTCTCCTCCTGTCATTGCCACCCTGGAGGAAGAGAGGGAGAGGCCGTGCTCACACGCTCCGTTAACCCGCGCTGTGATTCTCCCCCTGATGCCTTTGGGAACGGCTCCAGCACGCTGACGGAGCGCTGCGGGTGCCGCCTCGGGATCACCTTCTCCTGCAGATTCCAGCTGTTGGATGAGCATTTCACCACTCGGCTCTCTGCACTCCACGATGATGCTGCCGGGAGCCCTGCGCTGCCTCGTGCTCCTCTCCCTGCTCAGGGAGGGCATCAGTGAGGTCAGGAGGTACTACATTGGGGCCGTGGAGACCACCTGGGACTACGTGCACAGCCAGCTGCTCTCCACACTGCAGGCACCTGTGGGGTAAAGCTCTTTCTGTTGCCATTCTACACAGGGCTACTGGCTTACACGGGTCTGGGTGGGTGTACATGGGGCAGAGCAGGAAATCCCTAAGTGCCATCCCTTTGGGACGGGATAAAGCTGCAGGGAGAGCACAGAGCTGCCCTGCTTTGCTTTAACACCTTGTGCTTGTGATGTGCTGCGAGCTGGGAGCCGCCTTTCCAGCTGTACTTTCTCTCATCCCTGCTCTCTATCTCAGCTGCTTTGGGAAGATAGAAGCAGAGGTGGAACTCCATTGCCCTCTGCTCTGGGAGCAGTGTTCCCACGCTGCAGCTCACAGCATGAAGGCTCTGTGCTGTGCCTGTCCTCACTTTCTAGCTCTTAATCTCTGCCTGAACTGCATTGCTGGGGCTGAGGCTTTTTCCTTTAGGGAATGAATAGAATTTCGAGTGTTTGGGCATAAAAAGGTGTTGGTATGCAGCAAGAGGAGGGAGGAAGGCATGGTGGCTTTGCCTAAGTGCTTTGCAGTGGGAAGAAGTGGCTGTTGTGTTGTTTGAGCATTGAGATGGTGGTATTTGGAGACAGAAAGCTGTGTGTCCTCTCACTGGATGGGCTCTCTGAGCCTGGGGTGGGGAGTGGAGCTGAGAGATGCATCACGGTGGGTCCATCTGTACCCCTTGGAGGTGCTGGGGGGGTCGAGCTGGTGTCTGCTCTGTTTGCTTGTGTGATACTGATGGGATGAGTGTTTGGAGCTGATGGGAAGCCAAAGCTGTGGGTGGTAGGGGGCTCTGCCCCATGCTGCTCCACCAACACCCCTGTACAGCCTCAAGCCGCTCCCAGGCATGAGTCTTTCCTCACCGATGAGAGAAGAAGAGGGACACAGGAAAATACCCAAAGTGCAGAGAAAGGGCAAGCAAAGGAGAGCCATGAGCCTCTGAGCTGTGCCCCGCACATCTCTTACTCCACTGCTTCTCCCTCATGGGATCAGCACTCCGCAGCATCCCTGGGAGTGCACCTCCAGGAGGACATCTGCTGTTGCTGTGACCCACCGGGCTGAGCTGCTTTCACCTTCCCAATGAGTTCCATTTCTCTTCTTCCTCCCAAGCACGAGCACAGTGGCCCCGGGGGTCCCAGCTCCGGCTCTGCGCTGCCGGCCACGTAGCACCGACCTGTCTGAGCGCTCCGGCAGCACGGGGTGTTGCCTTTGGCCGTCTCCTGGCTCCCAGAGATAGTGCTGCTAACAATGCCGCTCGGCCGAGCCAGGAACCTCTCTGCTCCTCGGCCGCCCCGGGGTAGGAAGTCGGCGGGGACTGAAGTGCGGGGAGCTGCCAAAGCGCTCCGGCCACACGTCCCTGCGCTCAGAGCGGCCCTTTCGGTCCGTGCAGTGGTTCTGTCACCCTGGCTGGGATCCCGTGCTGAACCGTGGAGCCTCAGATCTCAGAGGGAGCTCCATGCTGGGCTTTCCGAGAGATGACTGAGGATCCAGCCCCGGGGCGGGCAAGGAAGGGTCTCCCGACAGCAGTGTGGGGGCGAATGCATTGCGCTGTCCTCAGTTTCTGAGTCAGTCTGGCTCCTTCCTCTTCCCCTCGAGGAATAGTCAGGCAGGGAACTGCTGCTGGGCTCAGACCTTGCTGTTTCTTCAGTGGAAAGAGAACACCACCTGGTCTTTGCTCCAAACAAAGCAGGGCTGGAGGCGGTCTGTCCGCTTACTGGAAATGGGCTCAGTGCTGGGGCTGGGGCTGATAAGCAGCCTCTGAAATCCCTGGAGAGAGGAGCGGCTTTGTTATCCTGATCAACGTGCTGGACTCCTTCTGGAAAATGAATTTGTGAAGCTGCTTACAGATCGAAAGTGGCCAGTGGAGATAAGTGGGGTGTGAAGTACACTCAGGCATCCTTCATCTTCCAGCTCCAAGGAGTGTTTTCTCAGGGTCTGGCTGGAAATGCCACTTTGGGCAGAGAAGAAAGGCATGCAGGGATGTTGCCCTGCAGTTTCTCCGAGGGAAGCTGAGGAGGAGGGAAAATGACACACATACAGAGCACAGTGGGCTGTGGGGCAGAGCAGCCCTGCATGGCACTGTGCCATGCACCACCGTGTCTTCTTCCCCTGTGATGAATGCCACGACATTAATCACTGCCACGTCGGCATCCGTGAGCTGAGAAAATCCTTTCCAAACACACCTGTGGTTGTCATCAAACAGAAAGGATGCGACAGTGAGCAATCCCAGGCGGGAAAGGGAGGAAGAGGATGGCTGCAGCTGGTCCGTATACTCAGCTTTTCCTTCCTCCTGCAGTGTGTCAGGGCCCCAGGAACCACAGCCCACTACGCCCGGTGCCCTCCCAAGGTACAGGAAGGCAGTGTTTGTGGAGTACCTTGATGCATCCTTCACACAGCCCAAGCCCAAGCCAGCGTGGATGGGTAAGAAACACCTACGGTGTGCTGAGCCCAGTGGCCAGACTCATGGTGGATGCTGGTGAAGGCCATCAGCTCCTCATCCAGCAATAGGATCTCGGGGCCCGTGGGTGGTTATGCCAGCCCTGCTGCTTGACCTCATCATTTTTCCCCTCCAGGTCTCCTGGGTCCCACCATCCATGCAGAAGTCTATGACACAGTGGTCATCACCTTTAAAAACCTGGCATCCCACCCCTACAACCTCCATGCTGTTGGGGTGTCCTACTGGAAGGCATCAGAAGGTAAGTTGGGCGACAGCCGTGTGCTGCACCTCTTGCTCTGTGCCTGCCTCCCAGGAGGGGGCACGTCCCTCACCAGCATGGAACTAGATGATCACTGAGATACCTTCCAACCCAAGCTGTTCTGTGATTCTATGACCCTGCTGCCCACCTACTCCAAGAGAAAGGGCTGGTACAGAGTTGGCTTATCTTGGGGAATAGCAAGACAATGCTCAGCCCAAGGCGAGCCTGTATCGATTAGAGAGGTAATATGTTGGTTAAACCTAAGATTGGATGCTTAGGACCGGTAGGACCATGTATCCTCCAGCAGTGGGGCAGGTGGTGGTGTATGCCCCCAGTAAGCATAGCTCTGCTCACTGCCCTGAAACCAGCCATTGCATGCAGAAGTTGGGCTAGCTGAGGGCTTGAGGTGGGGAAGAAGCACTTCTGTAGGCTCTTCGTGTTGGGGATGATGCTTTGGAGAAACCAGACTGTTATTCTGGCTGCAGGTGCAGGGTATGAGGATGAGACCAGCCAGCCAGAGCAGGAGGGTAACAGAGTGGATCCAGGGAAGACGCACACCTACATCTGGGAAATCCAGCAGAACCAAGGCCCCACAGATGGCGACTCCCAGTGCCTGACCCACTCCTACTCCTCCAATGTCAACAGTGTGAAGGACACCAACTCCGGTCTGATTGGAGCCCTGCTTGTGTGCCGGCCTGGTAAGGGCAGCACGGGATGGGGATGGACCAGGTACAATCCTGAACTGAGAGGCACAAAAACCAAAGATGCCTTCCAGAGGCTGTGTGGCAGTGGGTCAGTGAGTTGTGCTCAACGGCAGCGCTTTGGGGGTTCGGCCCTTTCCCCAAAGAGTCTCTTACTGGTGTGGTAGACAAACACTCAGATTTCCTTGCTGGAGAGAACCTGGTTACTTCTTTTCCTTGTGAGACTTTAGACTAGAGATAAAATTTTGCCCTGTAGCTGAACCTCATTTATTCATAAGATGAATTTCTATGGAAGCGTAAATGTTTGTCTTTCCTTCAGACCTCCAAGCTATGATCATTTATTGCCAGTCAGGGCACTTTGCCAAACAGGATTTAGTTGGAAGACCTAAAGGGAAGTTTTATCAGCAAGGGGAGAGGCAGAACACCTGGGGCACTGCCTCAGCCACACTAAAGCTGTCCTGTGTCCTGATGAACACGGAGATGACATCTCAACTGTTAACACTCTTTAGGGTGTAAAAAAGTGAACTTGGCGTGGGATTGGCCCTCTATGGCTGAGCAGTCTCCCATAGGTAGTTGTCCAGACCCCTCTGTAGTCACCAGAGAGGAATGAGCACCTGTGGGGTGCGACTCAGCTCCCATGTGCTGTCTGCAGCCCCATGACTCGCCACGAGCAATTCCTCCAGCGACAGTGATGTCTAGACAAGCAGTGCAGACAATGGGGATGATGAAGGGGATGGATGAAATGGATGAAACGGGCTCTTCCAGGTGACTAAGTGATGTGAGAGCCAGCGAGGGGAAGGCAAGGCAGAGTGACCTTTTAGAGCCTGCTGGAGGAAGCTACTGCACAGCCACTGGGCTCGGGGGACAGCCTGGTCTTGATTTAACAGTTCTTGGAGGGCAGAAAGCGACTTCCCGTGGGAGATGGGCATGCTACTTGTTGACTTGTAAAGAGACCCATCCCATGTCCTGTTGCAGGGACCCTGGTGAGAGATGGGGCGCAGAACACGCAGCAAGACCTCGTGATGCTCTTTGCAGTGTTTGATGAAGGTAACTAAGCTAAGTGAGCTGAGCACATTGGTGTCACTGCATTCAGCCTGCTCTGAGGCATATGCTTTGGCCACGATGTATGTGCAGCCATTCGGCTCCTACACTGAGCTCCTACATCTCCTTCCTCCATGCTCCAAACTTGCACC